AACATTTGATGCAAGTTAACTGCAAAAATAACTTAATATCTATTATATAGTAATCTCATAAATCAGTTCAGGTTAGTGGAAAAGTATTGTTTATATGAGTCGTAAAATGAAGATTCAATAATTTATATAAACATACTGTTCCTAAAAATGTTAGTCAGCAAAATTAGTTTAAAGCGATTTAATATCATGTTTTGTAAGTCCAGAACATAAGCTATAAAGGATCAATAGAAAATGGAACGGTTTCTGCAATTTCCGGAACAATTTCATAGACTGAAGGTTTATTACGCATCAGAACTCATTTCCTAATTTCTGCTCTTTCGGAAAATTGTCATTGTAATATGAAAATTGTAAAGATACATAAGCCATGCGGAAAAGATTTTGCAAAGTTCCGAGACGAAACGAAATTAACGTTGTTTCATAAGTAACTTTAAAATGAAATTTGGCCCAGTAATATATTTGCAGCTTATAAAGTTTAATGTCACTAAGAGCACGGAAAAAACTTTTTAGGTCACATCAGACCTAACTTTAATGAAAACGCATTTGTGAGCTGGCGTAATGTTGCATTTGTGGTAGAAATATGCATCGATGGGTGAAGTCAGCAAAGCATAATCAAATAAATACTTTTAAGCGCCATAAACAGTAAAACAAGAAAATAAAACTTCCTGCAGAAGACACGAAAACCATGTTACCTATCGAAGCTCGATAAATATACAGAAAAACAAAAAGGTAAGAATTTTTTAAAGTTTAATACTCTCAATGTTATCGAAAATGTTAGCTGTGCTCTTCTTCAATATTAATTAGTTAATTCAAAATAGGAACTGGTAAGTGTGTTTTTGCCGATAAGGAGAAGTAGTGAAACTAAAAACTGAATAAATTATAAAGTTTCCAAATGAATAAATATTTTTCATCATCTTTTTGAGGCGTTGTGTAGAACGATTATTTTTCTATCAATCCGAGTTTTTACAGAAAATTAGTGTTTCAGATAAGGTTTCTTCAGGGTGGCAAACGAATCAATACAAAATTGCCTGGCTACGCGCATTTCAGGTGAGATTCAGTCAATCTTAACTCGAGCCAAGCATAGATCATCATAAACTGTTCAGAATAAATTAACGGGTTATTAGAAAGTAAATTCAACTTTAATTCTAAAGTCTACCGTAATACCAAACTTCGGGGGTAATTCGGATTGGGTCACTTTTAGTCCAATCCCGTGGAATGAATTTGTCTCTTGAGTCTACCATCATCTTGTATCTTCTTGCCTGACGTTTTAGCGTCCACAGCAATTGTATGGTTTAAAGATCGGTCCAACAGGAAAACTGTTATCACTGCAAGACCAGAAAGTCGATTTTTTGCTATCACCCCGAAAATAAAAAAGTTAGGGCAAAAATTGAAAAATCGTTTTGACTTATAAGGTCTATCTGTATGCCTATGATGTTGAAATCCAAAAAATGTCTTTTTGCTCAATTCTGAGATTTTCAAACTTTCACAAATTTTGTATTGCTTTATTTGCCACCCTGTAGAAACTTTACTTGAAAGGCTAATTTTTTGTAAATACACCGATTGAAGGAAAAAAAATGTACTACACAACACTTCCAACAGAAATCAAATAGCTGGCAGCAGTCAGAATTTATTCTTATTTCTTCCAAAGTTTGGGTAAATTTGGCAGTGTAACGTTTATTTTATTGTGCAGTTTAGTTGATGAAACATATGACCCAGTGCGATAACAATAACTATATTTAAATAAATTAAGTTAAATACATATGTGAGTTTCTCCTGGAGTTTTAAAGAAGAAGCATTGAAATTTTTCATTCGAAAGATCCGAAGGAAGCTCTTCGGAACATTGACGCCCGTTCTGTCATACGCTAAGCTGAAAAAATCACATCTAACTTTCAACAAACTCCGGAATTGCACTGATCGCTTATCTCAATAGATAATATAATTCAAGTTGACCTATTTTGAGAAAAAATAAACGTAGGTGAATTTAATACTAAACAGATAGTTGCACAAAATATTTCTCATGTTTCTACTGAGGCCTGAACTGAAAGTTTTTCAAATTTTCCGTTTTTTCAAAGCCTTCTTAAACAGCAGCTAGTGGCAGAAATAACGCAATGCCATTTTCATGGTAGCAAGTCATTAGTAGCAGAAAAAAGCAGAACGGATTCTGGCCCGTTCTTGATCTAAGCCAGTTTTTCCCTTCTCATTGTTGAAAAGGTTGGTTCACATGAACTATATGAAATAGATATAAGTTCTACTTATTTTATTGCATTTAAGACTTTCATCATTTGGCTTTTGTTATGATGAAGGGAAAATAAGCTTTTAGATAAGTAATGTAAAGACGTTTAACTAACTAGGAAGACTAGTAAACTCCCCTTTAAATAACTCAAACATGGATTGCTTTTAATAAGTATTTATTTGCAATAAAATCAAACTTTTATGGTAAAACGATCAACATTAAATATTCTAATTAGATGAAATTTAGTACCGATGACTGTATCCAGCAAAAGTGAAAAATGATCGACTGGGTTTCAATTGTGCGCCATTCAAGAAGGCGATTTTCAAATTACATGACTAGTGTGCCACGGAAAGTTAGGAAACGAAGGCAAAAAAACGCTAACCCACTTTCGATTAATTCGGGGCAATGCACCCTTAATTCAACGTCTTCTAGCAGAGGAATAGAACAACACAGACCAAAGAGTTCCTGTTGGAATGCTGACAAGCTAAAAAAGGTAATTATATTTGGTGAAAGATGCCTGCTGATGAATAGTGAGTAGTCTTGGGATGCCTGTTGAGGGGCTTGCGTTAATCGGTCAACTGATAGCGGCATGAAATAAAGCACAATTTTTTGTGCCAATATTTCGGTCATATTTAGGCCATCCGTAGGGTCCCCCAAAGAGTATAGAGTGGTTTCAGCGTTAAAAATGTGAAAAGTTATTCATATAACGAAAACCAGTAGAAAAATAAAATCAAATGTTAAAGACCTAAAACAAAAAATGATTTTGTATAACGGATATTTAAAACATATTTAATCAGCAAAACTGAAGTAATATTTGCAATGCACCTATAAAGTATATTCGCATACTACATAAAATAACATATGCCGCTGTGAAAGTTACCTACTAGTAACACATAACTAAACTCTATTATTTAAACAAAATAGCGCATGTCACATTGCACTATAAAGTTTTGTGATTGCGGTCGTTGTAATTGCCTTAAGTAATTACATGAAAGTATCAAAATCATCTGTTGAAGGATGAACACGGTTAGAATATGTGGCAATAAATTTGATAATTTTGTGGGTTTCATATTCAGGAATAAATTTCATATTGAATAATGTATTCGGTAATACCTCTGTTGTGGTTTAAAATGGTTGTGCTTGAACCCAATCTAAAATCTATATACTGTTTGGATTGATAGGAATAATCCGGTTTGGGGGGTTATTGCCCTGCTAATATTTTAATAAAACAGTTGTATAAGTGGATGAGAAGACTGATTGGGAGGTAATTTTTAAAATATCTCAAGCCAATTGAAGCTTATCTGTTCTAAAAAGATCTTTGACATTATATTTTAAGATGTCTGAATTTGTTTTTGTCGGCTTGTTCTATTACTTTCTTTCCTCAGCTGCAATGACATTGTTCTGGGCTTTGTCCTTTTTCAGATCTGTCAGTGCTGTTTCTATTTCTGATCGTGTAATATCATATCTAATATCTAATCTAATTATCTAAATATTCTATTCGTTCAATTATTGAATGAATAGTTTTCTAAGCATGTTTTCTGTACAACCGATATTTTTTCACTCGATGTTTTCGTACATTCTGCCTCGCAAATTTTGTAAATTTGTGAATGTCGATAAAAATAAAAAACGATTTTGCCTTTTTCAGAATTGTTTATTACTAGAGGTTTGATAAAAGCACCTGTTTGATTTGTCTAATTAAGTTTGAAGTTAATATACTATATAGCATACAAATGAATGGGTCATTGTTGGCTATTCATCGATTAGCAAAAGTATTTTGTAAAAATGAATCGAGGTCTCTGCCCTCAAAGCGCTAAATTATTCAAACAATTGGATGAAATTTTTTTAGAATGTCCAAATAGCTTACATAATCAACACATCTGTATTAAGAATGACTCAAAAACAACCAACTTGCCTACCATTCGATTTTTTTGATAAAAATCTAATACTTACGTAAAAGCTTCAAACCGAGGTTAATTCAACAGTAAAGGTTAAGTTAAATATAATTTCAATGAACGCTAATTAAAAAGTTTTTCCGTTGTATGTATTGTAATAGATCGGCAAAAGCAATTTTTTCCAAGTTTTATTGATTTTATTTTGTTGGCTGCTGAAAGATATGTTGTGCATATTTTGTTTCCATTTTATTATTGCAGAAGAGTCGATATAACGAGGACGATGTTCCTCCACCTGCATCTCCTCCTGTTCAATCTAAAATAATCAATACAACTGTACTCGTAGACAATCACTCAAGGCATGGTTCGCTGGAAACTGTTACAACCGGTCGAAGGAAAAGCTTTTCTGAAAAAAGCATAACCAGTGAATCTGCGAAGCAAACTTATAGGGTAAGTGAGCAAAAAAATGTTGGTTTCCAAATGAATAAATTAATTGAAGGAGGCGCTGTATAATTCGTACTGATTTAATTTCTATATGAAAGGCTGCTTTAATACCAAATGATTATTCTGAAATTCTTTTTTATTATTTAGCTGAAAATCAAGAAAATTTTAAGTAGTAACAAGGCAAATTATACTAAACATTTATTCGAATGTCTGGAAAAAGTGGTGTTCGAAAAAGTTGCCAATGAGTTAAATTCAACGGGTAGACTGTTTTCATATTATGGTGGTTCAGTTTGCCCAACTCAGTATCTCAATTATATTCCTAATTAATTTCAGTTTGTATATCTGCCCACAACTGATTCATAAATTAAGGCGCCTTTTATGTCTGAGGAAAGATCATTTAGGAATGTTTATCCGCAGGAGAACAAATTTTCAGAC